CGTTGTTTGTCGACGGAGTGCACGCTACACCAGACAAATTAGTAAATACTGTTGTACCGTATACGTTAACGTACATATATATATATATATATATATATATATACATATATATATACATATATATATATATATTTAAGCTTCGCAAATGTTTTCTAATCCGCGCACACGTGGCGAATAATTAGACACGAAATTGCGAGATCCACTCGGTGTCAAAACAATTGGCCGATTATGGATTTTTACAAGTTGCGATTGAGAGAATTTCACAAAATAATTCTAATTATTCTTGTATGTCGTGCGAATGAACGTGACAAACATTAAGATACATTACTGCATTGTTCCATTTATATGTAATAATTCACATTTCCCGACGCGCGTTACATTGCTCGTGCTGGAAACTCGTGATGCCGACGTGATTACGACGGTCGGAAGGCGTGGGCCGCGTGTCGACGTCATTTCCAGCCGGAAGATCGGCGAGATGCCATTGTAAGGGGAACCTCGTCAAAACGGCGGTTGATTTCCGGGAAGATTAATAATCTTCGAATCGAACGACTGCGCAGCCTGTCCGCGAAAATTCTCTCTCTTCTCCTCTCTTTCGCGGCTGAACGAAGTTCAACCGAACTTTATTATAAAACTAATATTTTCCAAGTTCTATGAGGTATTACGATAGTTTTCTGAAAGAGCCTGCCAGGCGAAATGGTTCGCGGAGCGAAACTTCAATATTCGGCGACCATAACGACACCGACTGATATATTATTTCCTACAACTTCTACTCTCGGGGTTTTGTCTGCTCCACGGCCGGAAGAAAGGGAAGAAAGCGCGGGGGGGCGGCAGTCAGGCGGCCGAGACGTAAGAGGGAAAAAAAGAAGAAAATGGAAACTTGATTAAGAATTCCATCCGCTCGTAGTCTCGCGCGAGTATTCTCCTTCCAGAGAACGAGAGAGAACCGCGATGCTCTGCGTTGCGTAGCGAAATAAACGACTGGCGATATGAAGATTTAATCATAAAATTGTGCACCAACCGACGCATTTTTTTCCTCTCCAAAGATTATCTAGTAGAGAGAGCCCAGTAACGACTACGGTTCCATCGATCAAATTGACTCTGCGCTATTCGTGAAATCGAAACACGATCATGACTACACGATGCATCGCGCAAATTAACCTTTTCAATACGACCGGATCAAAATGCGAAGTGCTCGCAGTTGGCCGAGATATTGGCTCGCGAATGTGTCGATAACGATCGATAAAAAGTACTTTTATCGAGTTACAGGATCCTATTATACAACAGGCTATTATTGACTAAATACTGTAAATATCTGATATCTAAAAAAAACAATAGATAGATTTTTATATACAAAAATAATATTTTAAGTTAAGAATCTCAAACTCGTGCCTGCAAACATACACGAAAATTTAATTATAATAAGCAGGTCGTCTAAAAATGATCCAACTAAGAAAACATAAAAGATTTAAGAGACCATCGATATTTTCAAAATATATAAAAATTAAAATACACTACACTTGATATTCACACATTCTTTATTCACGTATTCCGCGCATTTTTGCGGCTCGATATTTTCTACTATTTTTATATTAGAGAATTTATAAAATTCCCTTATTCGTCGAGAAAATTAATGAAAATAATAAAAAAATGAATAAAAAGATTTTAAATGCTTCCAGCAATTTCGAGCAAAAAATAGCCCTCAAAAATTAGTTGTAATTTTCATTTTAATAAATAACATAAAAAATAGATAAAAAAACCGCATCTTTTTTATTTCCTAGTTTTAAATTCTTCCATATATTTTATCTAACCTTAATCTTTCTATATATATTTCTCTTTCCCGTATTCGCAATTTCCATATTCGCAACAGTTTTGCAGAACGTAACCCCCGCGAATATACATATATGTGGTTGAAGGTTTTACGGTATATTATATTGTTTATATTCTACACAAAATAGCACGCGGGTGAATATATTTTTCCACTTTTATACATTTTCTCCCGTATATATATTTTCATTTTTTTCTTTTCTATTACAACAAATATCGCGACTGGTCATTTGGTTTCATGGGTGGGATCGAAGCGTCGTTCGAAAAATTCGTGGAAAAGGGAATGTAGCAGCGGTGGCAAAGTAGGAGTCGGTCGCGAGGTCAAGGGACCGAGCGGAAGAAGGGACAGAAGGGAGAAGATAAGGGAACGGAGAGACGTTGCAGAGAACAAAGGGTGCTTATCGACACCGCGGTTCTTATCCACGGTAATTCCTTTTATTTTATCCGTTTCTTCTTCTCTGCCTCCTCCTGCGAGAGGACCGGCGGAAACCGGCGCCGCCACCGTACCGGTAAGATAATCAGACCGAGATCTATTCGAGCGTAGACCAAGCTATTTCCGGGCGTATCCCGAAGGCGCACCGATTTTTTCCCCATTAGAAATGTTTTTCCCCGGGAAAAAGCGACATTAATTCACTTCGGCGTGAGCAATTTGCTCAACTTCTGCGAGAAAGCGGCAGTAGCATGTCGCGGAAATCAACAGTAAAGTTTAGTGACTGACGTCACGGCGTAACTTCTAAATGACATTACGAAAAGGGAAGTCCCCGGTTGTTAAATCGATTGAGTTAATTTTTCACTTTTAATCTTTGCGTCTTCGTGTATAAGCTCGCGACGGCGACAATAAAGCCAGAGAGGCGTCAATTTAGTGTGTCGATTTTTTTCGGGGGAGGGGGGGGAGGGTTTCTTTTCCCCCCTCAAAGAAATCACTTTGTAATACAGATTTCGAAATTATCGGAGCAAAATTCAAAGCACATCGAAGTTAGTTTGTGCAAGAGAGTGCTTTTTTTCCGAGTTTATATTTAATGGACTTACCGGGTGTAGATGACGTACTGCGTAATTGGAGTATTGTGGGAATTAACACCAGGTGCCCACGATATATTCACAGCCTTGGACGTGTAATTTATGACGAGTGGTCGTTCCGGTGGATCGGGCACATCTGAAAACAAGTTTTATCATTTGTATTAAAGGTCTGGCAATTTGTAATTATAAAAATTTGTCGCGCATTCAATAATTTCATCGCAAAACTAGGTAAATTTTCATGAATTCTGACTAAACAAGTATGTTGTACATAGTGTGCTGCAAGTACTTAGGGAAGATATTATTTTCAAGTAGTTACAGCAGCTGTATGTACAGGCGCGACGCGTCTGCAGTACAACGCTAACTCGTTTTAGTTCCTTAAGCTGAAATTTATTTTGTCCAAAGTTGGAGTCACGTAGTTGATATTTCTTACGGGAATTTGCATCGATATTGACGCGAAACGCAAACACGTAACAGCCCTTACACAGATTCTTATGATATCTATATTTTCGAAGCAATCTTCTTGTCACGGAATAGAAACGGAATAGAAACGCTTGAAATGTTTCGTTGATCGTGTCGACAGCTCTCTGGTCGTGTTACACTTTTAGCGTGCCGTTTAAATATTAAATCGTTGTGTGTATTGTTTGCATTACATAATCAGATTAAGCGCAGTAAAATTCGTTATTAAGTATTATTATCGAATCAATTCAATGTAGAAAATAAATTACGATCAATTATACATTATGCGCATAACTTACATTTAAATAACTTAATAAATAAATGTTAATTTATATTTAAATTGAGATTTGAATAAATATGAAATGAAGACTTAGATGGAACTAAATTATTGAAATATTCAACTGGATCGCCATGTTCAATTCAGATATAAAGGGAGTCTGAGGCAATAATTTCATAAACCGACTCAACGTATAACAAACAAGCCTCTTTTAAACGATGCACGAGATGCTATGTAATCACGAAAGTGTGTTCCATTTGATCAGCTTTCGTCCGTTTTGACGATTCGATAATTAAGCTCCGGATTCAACTTTTCTTTTCAAAAAAAAGTCGACTGTGAAATAGTTTTGTACTTTCATATTTTCATTAGGAATAAAGTTAGTCGCGGAATTATTGTGAATGCGAAAGAAACTTTTTCAAACGATTGAGTTATTATTTAATCCTTTTTTATTTTTTAACGAGTAACGTTATGCTGATTAAGTATCACAGATGTCGCAGAAATGAATCCAAATAAATTAAATTTCAGCTAATTAAAAATAAAAAATTAAATGCAGAATTTAACTTGTAGATTCCATGAGAGATTTACAGTTCTCTTTCTCTCTCTCTCTCTTTCTCCCCCCCTCCCCCCTCTCTCTTTTATTTTAACGCGTACGTAACGTTTCTGCATTTGCGTTGTAAACATGACACGATCTACAGCGCGGAGAGATACAACTGGCTAGTATTTTCGCGAAACTCTTCTCGCCGAAGTGACTCGCGGGACAGGAACACCGATCACGCTCTCTGCGGCCGCCGCATCGGATAAGGCTAGAGCGTTTAATATGCACTGGCGTGCGGCGCTGCGAGATATAACATTGCGCGCACGTTGCATAAGATCATAAATGAGAGCAGGGACCTCTAACCTCTCAGAGGATGGAGTCGTCATCCTTTTCTGACCTCTTTCTCTCTCTCTCTCTCTCTCTCTCTCTCTCTCTCTCTCTCTCTCTCTCTCTCTCTCTCTCTCTCTCGTGCCGCGCGCTTCACCGTCGCTGCGTGCGGCTGCGCTGTTTATGTCGGCTGTTACCGCGCGCCGTGACACCCGCGCGAGAAAAATTTCGAACACAGAAACACATCTTCTCGTGATCCTCGATTTATATGAATACCGCATAGAAACCGCGTCCGACGCGGTATTAAGTATTTAATACAGCGACTGGAAAAGTTACGAAATGTTTGCGCGACGTCTATATCCGCCGCTGAATTTATGTGATTAAACGTAATTAAATGCGCACTTGTCTGTGCGATTAATATTTGCTTTGTATAGTTCAATACGGCGCGTGATGTAACAGAAAAGTCACAGCGGGGGATATTTTAATTCGCCGTTCATTTCGTTGCATTACCTTACGTGATTTTTATGTGATTAAATGTATCCACTTATCTGTGCAATTAATATTCGCCAAATTTATTCGCACTGTGCCAGTTGATACGATTTTTACGTGATTAAATGTGCATTTGTCTACACAATTTATGCCTGTACCGCGTCGTTCGGTGATAATCTCGGTAATATTAAATTAATTAATTCTGTCCATCACACAGGAGTCCATTATCGTATTTTCTTTACCGTAATGAAATACTGGCAACGTTATATCTCGCAAGTCGCGTAAATACATAAGAACCGTAATAAACATCAACGGACTGTAAGAGCCTCGACGAACACGGGCGCGCATTACTTACGCTTATTGTTTTTCTTCATGAAAAGCTACGCGCAGGCGTCTTACAATTAATAAAGGCTCGTTATATTAGACTCTTGAATAAACCGTACTTTTTATAATGTTACCTCGTTTGCAATCCGCGTACTGGCGCGTATTTACTTGTATTCCGCGCGCAGAGATACACTGGAAGAAAATTCAAAGGCGTGGAAGTGGAATAAATGAAATTTTCCCGGAACGCACAGAGGGAGAGAGAGAGAAAGAGAGAGCGCGCGCGAGCCGCCGTTCGTGTACCTTTATTAATTTCACATAACGTTTTCGATCGGTAAACGAGAAAAAGAATGCCGGAGCATTACGTGCGTCTTGAGTGGATAGCGAGTTTTTCTTTGCTCAACTGAAGCAGTACGTGAAACAAACCAGGTCTTCATCGTGCCAAGAGAAAATATTTCTCTTCGCAGTTATTTGTCTTTTTTTTCACATAATTGACCGACACATCCACGTTACACTTGTATTTTAAGTATTTCTTTTAACTTAGAAACGTTAACTTTCTCTCTACAATTGTTCATAACGATTCTAAAATATATATCTTATAAAAATGGCTCAAATAGATTTATTTATAATCTAAATATTATTATATATTTGAAACGGAAATTACAAATTGTGAAAAAGTGTTTCTTAAAAAACAAAATTATTATGACAAATTTGAAATCTATACGTCGCGAGACGTACTAATATTCAGATGATCGATTGAAATTCACAGGTTACCGTAGCAATTCCGCCTTTCACTTCATCTCAAAACTGACTAGTGGAAAATGTCAGAGAGGGAAGAATGTCTATATTCCTACATATATCACAAGAAGGAAATCCAATAGAAGCATATACGTCTTAGCAACGTATAAGTAGCATTCCAAGATTTTAATATAATAGCATCTATTTATGCAAAATTTTTACGTTTTCCTCAAGCTTCGCATTGCGTAAATACAAGTGAATATAAATGGCTCAATTTACCCTTGATAATTCAGTTCATAAACTTTATGAGTATGGACGAGAAATTATTTATATCACGAAAGTTTTATTCCTGTTTCTTCTTATTAGATTTTTAAATAATCGCCGAAAATAAACATTTCATCTTTTCAGCACGCAGGATATATACGCACGCGGTAATTGCGGTAAAGAATTATTAAATTATTCGTATAATTAATCGATGACAATTTTGCAAGATACGTAATTTTCTGAGAGAGTGATTGTAGCTTTATCAGAAGCTAAATTCTCGAACAGCTGAAATATTAAATTGTGCGAAGATACTGAACTGCGTGGCGATTACCTTCGATCATTTTCCATTTTAACGAACAAGCATGCGCGATATTCAATAAAGAAAAATTAAAATCAATGGCGAGTCTTTGCGCTGCCTTTCGCCAAGAAGTAGAGGTTACGGGAACTTTACCTTCGATCGCCAATTAATTCTATACCATTTAAACAGGGTACGCCGCTGCATCGCACCAGCTTCCACCCCCGTTCTCTCTACCGCGTGTTGTGGCCTTTCATTAATAATTCATGCGTTTCGCTTTACGGGGTCAACAGTAGACGTTTCTTTATTCGTGCTGCAAGTTAAGCGCGTTGCGTCGCGGCACAAAGCCACCGACAGACGTGAGGCAAAATCGGGCTGGCCGTGCGAACGTTACGAGCCTCGTTATACAGATTCCTACAATTTAGCTTTTTGCAATATTCAAGCGACTCCGCGAAGAGTAAAGCGTTTATAAATACTGTAGAATGTTTAAATAGGCTTTTGGTTATTATTTCGTGCAAGAACCACACCCTTTGCGAAGCAACAAATTGGCCGTCGCCTTTTAACCGATTACGAGTAATTAACCGATAAAACAACAATATCGAACCTGACGAAACATCTCTTGCTAGCTTACGTCGGACGGATGAAACTCGACTAAAATTATTTGGACGGGCTATATCTCGGTGAAAATATACGATATATATTTTTTTACATTAAATCTGTATCTAACAAGTGTAAACCGAAATATGCAAAACAGGTACGCGAGCTGACTAATTAAATTTTAACGTAACGAGTTAAAACTCCCGTGAATTTACGGGGCAGTTTTTCTAAGTTAGAAACTAGGCGGGCCCCGCAATAAAATTAATTGTTCAAACTATTTCCGTTACGGAGGCGAAGTGACCGATACGGCAGGTCCGGTGTATGCATGTGTATTAGTAAGCGCATACCGGGATAACCGCGCGTATGCGCCGAAGGATGCTGCGTCGTCCCTTACGGTAGGTGGAATATAAATTCCTACGAGCGCGTTTACCGGAATTTACGAGCGTCATTTTAAGAACTGTTTTGCCTTGCTCAACCATATGGCTCTCACGTAAATATCTCACACCCCGTTTCTCGGTTAAAACTCAGTACTCAAGCATTAACCGTACTGTCCTTTTCTTTCTTTCTCTCCCCCTCCTGCCCCTCTCTGTCCATCCGTGACGCGTAAGTTTCCCTTTCGCCGACGTCATCAGCATAATTAGTACTCTAGTTAATTGCAATAAGATTGACGTGACTCGGCCTAATTAGATTTATCTTCTTCTTTTTTTTCTTAAAAGGCGTGTCACGGCGACGCGCGAATTTGCGCGTGCAACTGATAAATGATAGCTCTATTAGCAACTCTAATGGCATTAGAATTGATGAAAACTTAAAAAATTACTGCGGTTCTCGGATATTGCT